CTTTTTAATCGCCTTCTTCCCATGTTTTTAAAAGAAATAAAGCCAATTTGCTCAGGTTTCAAAGGGTTTGTTTGACTTTAGTCACACAATTACCCAAACTAACTACCTACCATGGAGGCAGCGGTAGACCAGCAGCATCTGTGATGTTAAATCACTGTTTTCATGAATCGAGTCTGGCTTTGAAGAGAGTGATGTAACAGCTTCAGTTCCCTGTTGGAAGTTGCTGTCTGATAGCAAGGTAAAGCGACGAAAATACTCTAAATATAGCATGCACTTTAACTGTTAGAGATTTTTTTAGGTGGCTAAAATATGTTTTGTTGCTGACCCCTTCAGAGCAGTACACTGCTTAGCTTCCGTGTCAGTACTCCAGTCTGCTTCTCCGAACTGGGACATGCCGACTGACATCTACCGTAGGTAATACACTGACTATGGATGAATACCTTATACAACCCCACTTGAAAACCTTTATCCCTTTAACACAGTCTTCAGTACATGTCTACACGAAACAGGATGAAGTGTGGAAACTGAGATCTAATTATCTGATACGTTCTCTGGCATTTTAAGAGCTATAAAGAGCTTTTCTGGCCTGGGCTGCCAGTTCACCGCTGACCCTGCTGGCATGTCAGCATGACAGTCTGAAGGCAGATGGTTTCGTGACTTAAGCCAAAAAGTTGGACACTGTGGCCAGAAGTTATTTTAGAAGTTTACTCTTGGTATTAGTTTTGATTTCAAGTGATAAGTGCAGAATATTAAACCAATGTGAAGCAGTCCGAGTGTTATCTGAGGCCCTGCCTATACCTCTACCCATCACTGCTTCATTTCCTCTATCCCATCCTGGGTGACATCTCTGCATCTCCCTCTCGTCAGCAGGTGACAGTTTGTCAAGAGAAAGTAAACAGGAAGTTAACAGCAGTTTGGAAGAAACTATCAAAAATCCTGGCATCTGCACTTTATCAGTGTTGATGTCTGGTGTTGCGAACAGAGTCACAGCGGGCTGCTGCCTCGTGAGTCCTGACTCAGGTAATGATGACGAAGACCTTCACTGCCTGTTAACGGTTAGACTGGGAGTTTGTTTCCCCACAGTTCTCATTTATGCTGAACGATCATCAAAAATTTCCTCTGCAGCTGAGACTGGATGCCCTCAAGGCACACTGGGAAGTCTGATGTATATTTACTGCACAGAGTTTCATGTACAGTCATTAAAGTGGATCTAATGACTCTGTAATGTGCCTTTAGTGACAGTTTCATACAAAAATTACACTTTAACTCACTGCTTTGGATTTATGACCAACGGATTCTGCTCTTATTGACCCAACTTGTTTTTAGCAAACAAGCTCCAGTGAACACGTACACGACTTGCTCATTAGCAAACAGCAGACGAGGCTTAAGTGGTATCTCTGTAGTACAGTATACCAGGGTATTCAAAAATCCAGATGTTAGAATTTTCAATATCGTCAAAAACAGAGATGCCAGTCTTTTTATTTACCTCAAACTGGAGAAGGTGTACTGAGTGCACATCACGTGCCTCCGGAGGTTAGTGTGGTGCAACAGGCAGCTAAGCTGACTGCGAGTGGTGGAGATAACGTAACAGGACCGACTGTAAACAGCTGGCCGTGTCTTGCCCTCAACAGCAGGGACAGCACAGGGAAAACAACTTACTTTCACATCTAATTGGGATCCACGTGGGAATTTGCTGGTCGTGCAAGGGGGCGGGGTTCCAGTGTAGGACCGTACACAAATGCTGTCATATATACACCGGTGAAATTCCAGGAAAGTATGAAAACTCAGAAACCGCCCAAACCTACAGCAGACACACACAGTATGTTTAAATGCAGTTATTTTGAGCTATGGTTACAGCTCGACTAGGACATTTAATTGAACTACTGTCCTTGTCCCAGTATACAAGCATGAGAGGGAAATGGATTAATTGACTGAAGTACAGCATGTCCCACTCCTCTACGACAGACGGCGATTACCCCCTTTCAGCTTGTTAGTATTGGACCTTTTCTGGTCGACAAACAAATTAGCCATGATTAGCTAGCGGCAGCTGGTACCATGGTGGACAACGTTACAGCTCTGTATATTTCATACATGCTGTGCACTTTTTCAGTTGACATAGCACACACATAGCACGTGTCTCCTCGTCACACCTAAAAATGCACGGCTCTGGATGTAGATTTCGCCATGTTGTTAATGGCTTCTTCTTCTGTTACACATTTAATGCTGTTCGACTTAGTCCGACTTAGGAGAAATACGATTTGGTGCGATTTCAGTTGGACTAACATGTTTACATGTATTTTAAAAGTCTGGTTTGAGTTGGACTAACACAATAAATCAATTTTCTCTAATGCCATGTAAATGTACTGACAGAGTCTAACTGGTGAACACAGTGGAGCATGTAGCAGCTAAAGAGACTGTTTTTTTTCTCAGGAGTTGGTGGAGACCCAAAACAGAGCCAAAAGAGAGAGAATCCTGTGTTCATCAAGCAGACCCGAATGTTGGACACGAGTTTTACCTGATGTGATTGTTAACAAATGCGACTGTATTAAGCTGCATTTTTATCACTTTAATGTACTCTGGCACATGTGCAACATTATAACATTATAATATTCTTCTTTTTCAATTTTTTGATGCAGAAATGCCGTGTGGTTTTGTCCCTGGTGTTTTACTTTGTCTTAAAATTAAAGTTCTAGTGTCACAAAGTCCTACACATTTACTGTCTTTTGGTAATTAAAGAGTTTCTGATTTTGGGTCTGAGCTTTACCAGCCCACTCTCAGAGTGGCTGCAGTAACTATGACGGGATCAAAGGAGGAAATCAGGCAACGTAGTATAAAGAGAGACAAAAGCTGCATAAGGAGGAGGTTGGGGTGGATGGATGGGTCAAACACCGGACTTTCACCCAGGAGACTGCTGTTGGTGTCCCGTGTGAAACCAAAAGTCAGTGTAGTTATGTGTGTTGTTACATATGCTGTTACGTCATTGGATAAGAACTTTTGGTAACCCAGTTGCTACGTTTGTGACTCATGTCAGGTCTTGCCGCGTAAGTTACGTAAAAGATGTCCCAAGTGAATCCAAACACCATCTTTTCCTAAAACCTAACTAAACTGTGCTGTTTCACAGTTTTACTTATGTGATTAATAATGCAGCAGTTTCAAAACATTAATTAGCACCTGGTACTCTCTAATAGTTATGTATGTTGTTTTGGGAGTCACTGGCAACTGGCCTATTTTGTTGTTAAAGGGATAGTGCACCCAAAAATGAAAATTCAGCTATTATCTACTCACCCATATGTGTCCTGAAGCCCCGACATAAAAAGTTGTTTGGAAAAACGTCATTTGAACTATGTTTTTAGCCTCACCCTGTAGATCTAACTCACTAAAACTTCGACCAAGAACTTTAATATCCAGAAATTGCACCCAAATCTGATCAGGGAAGTTAAAAAGAAGCTGTTTAATGGAAAGAGGATCGACCAGACAAATAGAAATATGGATTTTCTTGGCAAACTTCTGGCTGCATGTGTGGCACATCTGGCTCCACAGGCTATAAATACACTCCCCCCTGAGTCTGACTCAGTGGCTTCATGTGCCTGAGTGTAGACTGATGAGTGTCTCTTCTATTGAGACGGAGTGGAGGGAGAGACACTTCTAGCTGTCACAGTCTGCCAATTTCTTGTGATAAAGTTAACTGGCAGATATATTTGGAAACAGCGAATGGCTGGCAGCACAGACAGGAGAGAAACACTCTGGTGACACACACAAATGCTGGGCTGAGTAAAAATAGAAACGCTGCTCTGTCGTAAGATGGGGAAAAAAAGAGTTACATTAAAGGTGACAAATGGTGCGTGTTTGTAATGAATATGTCATTCTTAGATTGATTAGAAAACCTTTGTTTAATCTGTTTACAGGATGATTTATCACCTCCTCCCACAAGGTTCTCTTTCCATCTGTTACTCAGCAGAAAAGTTACTGAGCACATTTCAGTGACATTTGGTAGAAAGTTACATTACATGCTGTGAATCTGGAAGCCACAGCACAATCATCTGCCAATTTGAAAAGCACCGAAGGCTCCGAACACCTTTTTCCTCCACTTTCCTGGATACAGTTACAAAGTTATTTCAGGGCTCTTGAAGTTAAAGTCGAGGTTATTTTCTCACAGGCCATGTGAGGTGACTGAAAATGGGAGCTCCTCAAGTATTGGATGAGTTATTTTTTTTTATATAAAGTCAAAAGCTACAAGCCTATGGACACAAAAAGTGAAGGAGAGGATTCAAGTTTGAGTCCAGTAGGAAACATTCAATCACAGAGTTTAAAATTCGGCCAGCTGAAGCTAAGATTGCACTGAAATGAATGGTTTAAATCTGCTCACTTTCACATTGAGAGTATTTTTTTGTCAAATTCAGAAACTCCAGAAACAGGTTTTACTCCCAACTGTTACAACAAAGCATTTTGGATTCCCTGCAGCTGACTGCTCCATAGTCAAGTAGACCGAGACGCATGAGTATTGATTTTAGACCCATCCACCATCAGATTAACTGACTGAACACTTAAGGGAACACTTCACCCACAGAAGCCTGTGTTTTGTTGAATTTGTGAAGAAAACTTTATTTTTCCTGCATGTCTCCATTGGTGAACGAAGAATCCAAAAGTGGCAAAGTGGCAGCATGCTGCAGCAAGCGTGTACGTTTGAACTCTGCTTGTTTCTCCCACTGAGCAGAGTTCAAATGCACACCATGCCCAGGTGTGCTTCTTATGTGCATAAGTGTTTCAAATAGTAATGTTTGAGCAACAAAGCATGTGTGTAGGATGTACTAAGCTTATGACTGGATGATTGGCAGTTGGATTATACTGCAAGAGTTGAATGAGAGTATGTAAACAGATGTTTTGATATAGTTTTGCTGTTGTTACAAGTGGTCCCTGTTGACTTCAATTCATCAAGAATTTTTGGATTCTTCGTTCACCTTGGATGAGCGAGAGAATTTTTTTTTTTTTTTCCCCAGGAATTCAATGCAACACAGGGAGAGTAATTGATAAACAAGTAGTTAGGCATGTGCCGGTATGAGATTTTGACGGTATGATAACCGTGGGCAAAAATACCACGGTAACCGGTATTACCACGGTAATAATAATAATCATCATCATCATAATAAAACAGGCGTCGTCCTATTTTCGCGCTCTACTTTAAAATGGTAGGCTAATATTTGTTGGACTGTTCATGAGCGACAGCACGTACCAGGCATCTCCTGTCAGTGCAACGCATCATCACACCAGTTGTTTAAATGTGTAGGCTAATACAGACCCGTTATAATGTAATAGAGCCGTTTCTTAACTTCACGATGGTGACTCCGCCCAGCAGCTTGTTGAGCTCCTCGTCGTTGCGGACAGCCAGCTGCAGGTGACGGGGGACGATAAGGGTCTTCTTGTTGTCGCGGGCAGCGTTTCCAGCCAACTCCGGGATCTCAGCTGTCAGATACTCCAGCACAGCCACCAGATAGACGGGGGCGCTGGCATAGTTTCCTTCGCGCAGCAGCCTGTGAACACGGCCGACTGGTAACTGGAGCCCAGCACGGGAGGAGCGGGTCTTTGCCTTGGCTCTGGGGGTTCTTCTGATGGCCCACATGTTCCCAGTAGGGCTGTCAAAATTGCTCAAAAATGACATTTGAATATTCCTTCTAAAAATAACTCATAGTTTCAAACTATTCGAATTTTTTTTTTTTTTTTTCCGCATTATGTCCACAAGAGGGCAAACTAATACAAGGAAACATAACTACTTGTAGGTTTTTTTATTTCAACATAAACGTCTTCGAAAACATTTACATACCTACACATAAAACACATAAAACAATTATCTATAACATTACGTTAGAAACGACCGCGGACCTCTTGCTCGCCCCCCCTCTCTGACCCGTCAGGCCACACCGCCCGAGGAAGCGCCGTGAATAGCCTCAAAGCGCCGAGAAGCAAAGCCAGTTTCCTTTCGGCGCCCACGTTAACCGATTGTGTCATCCACACCGGCTGCGCCACGCTGCACAGCTCCGTGGCTAGCTCCCGCCCTGCAGCGATCGTTTCGACGTCTGGTCTATTTTCTACACGAGCCGTGAGCGAAGGTGTCAAGCTGGGTGATGGAGACAACAGCTGGGAGCAGAACCGCTTGTCGACCAGCGTGGAGAAATGCGCGTCTGATGTGAACGGAAGTGCTCCGGCTTGCGCGAGAATTTCGGTGCGCTGCGCTCCGCAGCACTTCCGCGGGCAGTGTGGCCTATGCAGTGCGTTCAGTGCAGCGGCCCAGGCCAACGCCCACTCGCAAAGAGGACAGCTGCGGTGGTGTTTTTTTTTTTCTCGACAATCGAATATGAATTTTCACATTCAAAGGTCCATTTTTTTTTTTCAAATTCGAATTTAAATTCGAATTTAGAATCTTCGTTGACAGCCCTAGTTCCCACACCACCGACTTCGTCCTTTTTGCCGGTGGGAAAAGTTCAGCTTCGCCTCCTCCAGCCATGTTTGCAGTTTGCACGTGAGTGGATTTACAGTGATTACTGACGTACTGACTGACTGAGGCTGCCTCCCCAGTAATTGTGCTGACTGCAGCGGCTGCACGTGCATGATTTCAGAGGGTGTGCCTGTTAAAATGTACGACTGGCACAGAATTATTTCTGAGTTTTGAGTTCCTGAAGCTCCCATTTATGAAACATAGGTTACACCGTCGGCCTTTACCGTCAGAACAGAAAATGGCCGGTTAGTGACATCATGACATTCTTTTACCGTGGTAAACCGTGACACCGGTAACCGGCACATGCCTACAAGTGGTCATTTTGTGGGTGATGCGTTCCTTTAAGTAGAAGTAATTCAAACTGATGGCCATGACATAAATGTTAAATCAGGAAATCTGGATGCTTCTATCTTTTCTGATTATTGATTACTACTAGGCTACTACTGATTATTTCTAGGGAAGGGGTCCTTGTCTAACAGCCAAGTTTTTACTGTAGCTCATAACAGACAAGGCAAACACTGGCTCTAGACAGGGCCACATCTGGCAATGTAGTTAGAAACCCCCATGCAATGAGCTGAAGAGCTGGAAGAGACCTCTGTGGATAATTCAGCTCCCAGCTGGAACTTTCTGGATGTGTGGATCTTAAGTTACCAGAGAGAAAAGGTGAGCACACATTAGCAGACGCTATGTTAATGGGCTGTCAGTGATGAGCTGAACTATGATGAAGAAACGCTGATTTGTAACATGAAACTGTTTTATTCAATGTTTTCACCAGTTTTAATCACCTGGTCTGTTTGTTGTGAAGAGGATGATCCCTCTGCGGATAATTCTGATCCTGGTAAAAAACCTCCTGAAAGATGAACACTGAAGGAATCCTGCCCGGATGGCCATGACTAGCACATGGGAGAGGTTTCAGCTGGTTGCAATTTGCGATCCTACCTGTAGATGCCAGTAAATCCTACGCACTGTTCCTTTAAGATCACTTGAAAAATACTTACTTCATACAAAATGTACTCAGTATCTTCCAAATTTGGTGTAAATTACATTTTAATGGGATAAGAGATCTAAGCAGTCACATGATCAGACTGGTTGGAAACAAACACGTTAGAAAACAAAAGGTGAACGGTCCAATGATTAACCAAAAGGCATTTTCTGAAGATCCATCACGGACACAGACCCACGTTCTGCTTCACTATGACCTAAAACCGTTTTTCTGAGTAATGTGGGATTACTAGCAACTTTTTTGCCCTCCAAATGAAGTGGTTTAGATCACCTGGATAAACTGCTGTGTTGTTTTCAACCTGTCTCATTATCTGACTGGACTGGACTTCTTTTTAGTGATGTTCCCAGATCACTAGGTCACTGTTCCTGATAGACAAACCTCCCGAAATAAGACCCAAGCTGTGATAAACTGTAATTATCCTTTAGGACACTTCGACCTCTGACATCCTTTCCTCGTTTGCTTGTAATGTTGGTGACAGTGGATATAAAGTTGATTTTATTCTTCAGCCCACTGTGAGCAGCTCTGCAGAGGAGGATTCACAAAAACCCAAATGTGTGATGTTTGTAACTAATTAGTCACCGCTCAGGCAACACTGAAAGCAGCCCGCCGGTTTCAAACACTCTTTCAACAAAACTGCTGTAATTTGTTGAGCTCTGTGTTGCTGTTGTTCTGCAGACATCTCAAACAAACTCATTAAACTGATAATTACACGACAGAACAAACACGAGTGCTTAATTTTCCTCGGCTACGATGTAAAACCAAACGCCGACATTAAACGCAGCATCTCGGCCGGCTCCACGAGGAAAAATTAATTAACACGGCTCTCACCTAAAGGCGGTCTGTACCGCTGCCGGTGCTCACCCCGCCTACCTGTCTCTGCATCCGCTCTCCTCCTCTGTCAGACTCTAAATACCACACATAAATAATGCAAAGGCTTTCGCATCTAAACCTTCGGCTCTGTTTCCTGCTCAGATGAACCGCCAACAATGGCAAGGACGACAGGCTCAGAGTGGGAGGCATCGAGACGGAAGGAGGGAGAGAAAACTTTGGTTCACCTTCAGAAGCCTTGGAAGGAGAAATGGGGTTGACATTTGCTGGCGGCTTATAGAGGCTAATAATAATTAGTCTTTCACAGGAAATGGTAAAGGGACATTTCCACTGCCAGAGTAAAAGTTAAATTAGGTATTTAACCACCAACATCAACCTCTGGGCTGCAGCTGAGTGATGCGTTTTATGCTCTGCTTGTTGCATGTGTGTGTGTGTGTGTGTGTGTGTGTGTGTGTGTGTGTGCAGTACGGACTGTGGCTCTGTGTTAATTTTGGTGTGGCTTCACAGCAAATGGGATTCTCACAAATACAGAATCTTAACTGAAACTGCTTTGTGAATATTAAGCAAATAAATTCAAGTATAAGAAGCTATTACGTAGCTTAAATTCTCAAACTTGGAGGGAGGTACTCCACTGCACAAGACCATGGGCCCAATCCCAATTCTCCCCCCTTGGCCCTACCACTCTGTTTTGAGTGCCACTGCGTAGGGTGGGGTGTCCCATTTCTTTTGGTGGATCGAAGGGTAGTGGTCATCTAGTCCTCCAGGAAGCCCTTTAAGCAGAGTGTTTTTAGATGCAGACTCCACAAAGAGTGGTAAAAGAAAATTCCCGAACTGTGGCAGATTAAACGTAAGGAACAAGCAATGTCTATGGGTGTCTGTGTGTGTCTGTTCCACGTTTTTCTCCTCACTGACTTGGTCAATCATTGTGAAATTTGGCACAGTGGTAGAGGGTCATGGGAGGATGCCAATGACGCAATATTACATCAATTGGCCAAAGGGGGGCGCTATAGCAACCAACTGAAATGTCAAACTTTGAATGGGCATATCTCATGCCCCGTATGTCGTAGAGACATGAAACTTTGCACAGAGATGCCTCTCCTCATGAGGAACACATTTGCCTCAAGAACCCATAACTTCCGCTTATATAGATTTTCCACCATTTTGAATTTTTTGAAAAACACTTCAAATGGATCTCTTCCTAGGAAGTTTGAGCGATCTGCATGAAACTGGGTGAACATAATCTAGGGACCAATATCTAAAGTTCCCTCTTGGCAAAAGTTGGAAAACTTACTAAAACTGAGCTTCTATAAGGCAATGAATATTGCGGAGGGCGTGGCTCATCACATAAAGGTGTATAACATCTCAAGGGTTTCACCCATCACCACGCAACTTTGTAGGCATATGACCACACATAATCTGAGGGGACCCCTCCATTATTGACCCCATCAAACAAAATGGGGGCGCTAGAGAGCTCATTTCTTTTTTGCCTGTACTTCACAGGACAGTGAAGCATGACAGGAAGGATGGGAGACAGAACACGGAAGACATGCAGCAAAGAAGGAAGGCCGGATTCCAACCCACACCGCTGCAACAAGGGCTAGCTGCACCTTTCCCATGTGAACTACCAGTGCGCCCCACTTTGAAGTCAATACAACATATAAACACTTTAACTATCTGCCTTTCAACGTGCTACCTCAACTACTAATGTACAGTTTTAGCCCACTAACTATCCCACTATTGGCAATGGTACTACTGTACTTTCAATACAGTACAATACCTGTATCCCAAACACACACCATGTGAAACTGTACGTGGGCAACTGTGCACTCAATGGGTATGGACTAGTCCTTGTATAATATTGCTTTTGTTGTTTAAGGTTCCTTTTCATGAGGACATGTTCATTACTTCAGCTAACAATTTAAGCATTTATTCAGAACTTTTAGCTAACTAATGCTACAGATGATGTAATGTATGTGAGTGACGTCTCATTTCCTTGGTTGAGATTTGGTGGAGAATTGGGATTGGGCTGCTGATAAACATTAGAAAAAAAATAAAGAGCGTAGTAACTTCAGGAACACTTCAGAAACGCGGCAAACTAAAGAAGGAAGACATTATCACACCTGAAATGTAAAATCACCCTGCCTTTAACCTCAAATCAGTGTGTGAATAAAAGCAAGTAAAAAGCTTCTGTTAATTTCTTTACCACCAATCAGCTGATAAAATACAATCTATTCTAATCTGCTATCTATGTTTCGCTGGTTCATTTCATTTTTCTATTTAAAAATGCATTTCTTTCCCTATGCAACCTTAATATTTCTTCACCACACTTCCAATTTTCTTTTTGCATAATGTATTACAATGGCCGTGTCTTTGCATGTGAAGTGATGTTTTAATTCATTTTATTAAC